GGGAGATGGATCATTTGGACCCAAGCTGGCTGTGTCTTCATTAATGTCGGATGAGAAGTGTGGAGCCATTGTTGTGGGAATGACGAAAAAGAGGAGTTCATTGGATGCAGACCAAGCTGCCCAGAAGAATTTTTCCAGGATTTGCATCTGGGAGTCGGACGGTGAGGCTGGGGATATAACCTGTGACATAGTTGATACAGCTGAGAATTCCTTGATTGAATCACCGAATGCTACCCAGCCTTTCAGAACCACCCCTTGTTGCTTCAATGGAGATGTGAAGAAGCCGGGGCAGACCATTTCGAAAGGGCACAAGAATTATGGGTTGATGCTCAATCTCCAGGTGGGGATAAGGTAATATTTCTGTTTTGGTGAGTGTTTTCTTAAGGGTCATTGCCTTTTATTTTCTTGTTTTTGTATTGAAGCTGAATCAATGATGATGTTTGCTTTAGGTATTCTGCCGGAAAGCGAGTTTCTGCATTGGCTGGAGATCTTAAGCCCAGTGATTTTGATCCCAAGGAGAAGTTCTGGACTAGGTTTCCTCCTCAGGGGTCCAAACTTACCCCTCCTCATCAATCTGGAGAGTTCTGGTGGAAAGATTATTGCCCAATGGTGTTTAGGTGTTTATTGACCAAACTCATTTAAGTTTTAGAGAAATTATGATTTGAAGTAGGCGGTCAAGTCAATCCATGAACAATACTGAAACTGTGATTTGTTTTTGTTTTTTGGGGATATATTCCAGGCATCTGAGGGGGAAGTTTCGGGTGGACACTGCTGATTATTTGATGGCCATATGCGGAAATGATGCTCTGCGAGAGCTTTCATCTCCGGGGAAGAGTGGAAGTTTCTTTTATTTGACACAAGATGACCGATTTATGATCAAAACTGTGAAAAAATCGGAAGTCAAGGTGAAATTGTGTTTAATTGTACTTCTCTGATCTTATTTTGACTTGTGATTCCGAAAAGACATTCCAACTAAATTGGAGACTGGACTTTCAAAACTTGGTTCTTCAGGTGCTTCTTAGGATGCTACAAAGCTACTATCGTCACGTCTGTCTATACGAAAATTCCCTTGTAACAAAATTCTATGGTGTTCATTGTGTCAAACCCGTTGGGGGTGTAAAGGTAAGTAATCTGTGTGTGATCAAGTTTGTAACTCTTTGACTCATTCTCTATGTAGTCTACCACACTAATTGGTTTCTCTTAATTTTGTATGTATTTAGACGCGGTTTATTGTGATGGGTAATTTATTCTGCTCGGAATACCGAATTCACAGGAGGTTTGACCTTAAAGGGTCTTCTCATGGTCGCTCGACATGTAAAGCTGAGGCAGATATTGACGAAACCACTACTCTTAAAGATCTTGACCTCAACTATGTCTTTCGCCTCCAACAAACCTGGTATCAAGAACTAATCAAGTTAGTATCCAACTTGTTCAGTCACCCACACCTTTTGTTTTGGCTGTTGTTCCATCGGTCTAACTTGTTGGGTTTTCTACAACAGACAAATTGACCGGGATTGCGAATTTTTGGTATCGGAGAGAATAATGGATTACAGTCTTCTTGTTGGCATTCATTTCCGAGAAGACGATAATACCATGGACAAAATGGGGTTGTCTCCCTTCCTCTTGCGAACAGGTACTCTTCCAACCCATATCTTTTCTTTATTATTTATAGCGGCATAGCTGTGACTCTCCCATATAGGAAGTCACAGCTTCGAATCCCAGTGGGAGCAGTGACTTTTTATTCTTTAGTAGGTAAGAAAGTATGTATGAGTAGACATTACATTGTAATAGAATTAATAGCCTTCAATGAAAAATGAGCCACATTGGTTTTCAAATGCATATTTCATTCATTTCAGGGAAGAGCGATTCATACCAAAATGAAAAGTATATGCGGGGGTGTAGACTCTTAGAAGCTGAGCTCCAGACCATGGATAAGATTGTCGCTGGCCGGTATGGTTTCATCCCTCTTTTTTTCTCTCTTCCCTCTGTATGATCTAATCATACGCGACGTCTTCCTTTTCTTTCCGTCATCATTTATTAGTATTTTTTTTTTAAAATTGTCATTTGTGAATTTGAGGAAGATTGATTTGGTTTTCCCCTTATATTTGGACATTCATTTTACCAGTAAAACCTCGATTTGCTTAGGGGCAAACATGCCTGCTAGAGTGGAGCGACTAGCTCGAAGAAGTGATTTCGATCAGTACTCCCCAGGTGGTGGGTTCTATAGTTTGCCACCTTCGCACCGCGGCGAAACCAGTGATGCCATCCTTTACTTTGGGATCATTGACATTCTTCAAGACTACGACATCACCAAGAAATTGGAGCATGCATACAAATCGTTGCAAGCGGACCCTGCCTCGATCTCGGCTGTTGAACCAAAGTTGTATTCGCGAAGGTTTCGGGATTTTATTGGGAGAATCTTTGTCGAAGATAGGTAGGAGACTACGAACAATGGTCGAACTAAATTTATCTACGCTGCCGCGGAGTTGACTCGAGGCTAAATTTTGTTCATCAGCCATTGATGCAAGTTACTTGTACATGTAAAATTCCAGGCACAAGGGGCTTATGGAAAGATTTGGTCATGAGTCGTTCATTTTTAGCAATTTTTTTAGCGATTGAAGAGGTTTGAAAAAAAAATTGTATAGGGATGGATGGATGGATCATGAGTGATTAGATTAATTCCCAGAATGATTCGAGTAATGAATAATGAATTTTTGTACAGTTCATACGGAAAAGGTGAACAATTGTTTTTTTTACATTTCAGTATATAATTAAAGCATGTAAGATTTTGGGTGAAATTTGTTGGGGATAAAGGGAGGAAATGTTTCGTCTATCGGTCATTGGTATGCTTTAAAATGCAGTTAAAGGGTCTGCGGGGAAGAGGGAGAGAGTTTATGAAAAGAAGAGAAAGGTATCGAAAGATGTGATGGACGGCTGTTCTTTCTTTCTTTGGCTCCTCTTTGCCCACTTTTTTTTTATTTACTGCCACAATTCTCACTTTTTAAACTGTTTGGGGCACTGCAAAAGAATGCTCACAAGTTGATTGGAACTTAGTGGTGGGGAAAAAGTGGAAACCCAAAAACATTTGTGGCCTCTCCTCCCAGCAAAGAATATGTGGTCAAAATTGTGATAGAAAAGTATCGGTGTATTGTACCACCGGCTGTACAAAAGGGGTACTTATTTTCACACAAAGTATAAGTATTCATTTTTTAAAATAACGTGATGTTCTTTTTTAATCAATGTAGTAATCATTCTCAAACAACATAGTCTTTATTTTAACATATTTATTCATCACAGTTATAATTTTTATTTACGAATAATGTAGTGTTCCTTCTGAAATAATGTAATGTTCATTCTCAAATACAGGGATGGCAATGGATCGTGTTCGGATCAGAAAATATTATACCCGAACCTGACCCAAAAAAAATTTGGGTATCTTTTTTCCCATACACGAACAGTCGGGTTTGATTTTTCACCCGAACTCGAGATTAAAATTCGAAACCCGAACCCGACTTTCAATACCTGAACCAACAACCCAAAGCCCGAATCTGACAAGGACTTAACACTTTTAAACCAAGTCTGAAATTGTTAATGTATCGTTATTCTAAAGACCAAATATGGAATGAAATACAAGTATCACCGCAACATTGTTATGGAATGAAACGAAATACCAGTATCACCGTTACAAAATATTGAATAAAATACCAGTATCACACTGCTACTAGACAGAATATGAGAAACATTGTTATGATTTATCACCAAAATTAAAAAATTCATAAGGGAATACAAAGTACCGCGTACAAAATCATGCATTAAAGATCATATTTCATTATCTTCACTGTCAACATCTTCATCCTGAAATACTATGATATTAAATTTAGAATGGATATGGAATAAAAAGGTATTCATCTTATTTATCTAGCAATACTTTTACCTCATCATTGTTCTTTTCTTCTTCCACATCTTCACCGTACAAAACGCTCGAACATGCTAAAACATCATCCTTATTATTGCCCACAAGGTAAGTCATGAATGTGTATTATCTTGAAAAAATAAAATACTTAGTTATGTACTTTACCTTGGAATTCCATTACTCTCTACCTTTCAAGACACATTAATGTTTCCGCCGTCTTGGGAAGTAACTGACTTCGACTTGGACTAATTATTCTACCACTCGCACTAAAAGCACTTTTGAAGCCACTAAAGTAATAGGAATAGCTAAAATATCTTTAGCGACCCTTGAAAGGGTAGGCTACTGTTTCCCTACAACACTCCAATAAACCAAAATATCAAACTTTTTTGGATCGACTATCATCACATCATCATCCAAATAAAGATCCACCTCCAATCTTGGACATTTCTTTTTTGGCATCATAGAAACATGTCTTTCCCACTCTATATCATCCATCTCAGGAATATCTCATGACACATCATCCAAATTGGAAGAAAAAGAATTATCTTCACTTCTCATTGTAGAGTCCCTCTTCAGTCTTCTCATAGTCCTTAATTAAATTCTCCAACATTTTTTTCAATACACTCTGAGTCAGCATGCTCTCGATAAAGCCTCTAAAAATAAAACCTTACATGCTCCATCTTTTTTCTGGGATTCAACAAAGATACAACAGCTAAAGTGCCATTAATTTTTCCCCAATATTTTTCAAACTTTTCAATCATTTTAATTGCCATATTCTAAATAAGTGTGGAGTTTGATGCTTCCGGATGTTCTATTTCGGTGTCAGACGAGAGAAATAAAAAGTAATAAGTAGAAAAAGGAGAGGTAATGTGCTTTCCTAAAAAAATAGTTACGAATAAAAGAGTAAAGGTATGATCGTTTATGGCCATTTGGAGTAGTAAAGGTGTAACACCCCAACCTCCGTAACCTGAACCAACGAGTTATCGAATCGGGTTGCTACTAAATCGGCATCAAACACAATAATTTTCAAACAACTTAAAACATTTAATTCAAAACAACACTTTAATATCCATCGGAGTATTATAAAACGGTGCAGAAGCCTTTAATAGTTAAATCAAAATACAACTTGGGTTCTTGCCCTTAAAAGCATAATAAATTTAAATGCAATAATTAAACTAGATAACTCCTCCAGCCAGCACCCATCCACCTCTCTGCCCTCGCTGCCTTCTAGAACTACTTCCTTATTCAACATTCATGTTACCTATGTGTAGCAAATATGAAAAAGAGCTACACGCTCAGCATTGAAGCTAAGTGTGAAATATCTAACGTTTCGACTATACACATAGACAAACCCACTAGCTCATAACTTCATACAATATCATGCACACAATTCAACAGTAATAATATCACATACTCCCTCCGTTCCTTTAAACCCTTCCACTTTTGACTTTTGGCAAAAATAAGGAAAGTGTAATTTTGGTTGACTTTCCAATTTTGCCCTTGATGTGATGGGTAAAAGTAAGATGTGATAGTTTGGTTATTAGGGAAAAAGTTTGATGTGATAGGTAGGGTATGAAAAAGTAAGGGTAAAAGTGGTTTTTTAATAGAAAGTGGAAGTGTTTTAGGGAATTCAAAAAAAACGAAAGGGGAAGAGTTTTGTGGAACGGAGGGAGTAACATTTAACAGGTAAAACAACTACGTTATAATAACACACTTTCTGTCACTTACCTTGGTTCTCCACCTGCACATGTCACAGTCACATTATTCAAGTCATTACCACAGCTTATATCCAACACTAGCTCATAACCTATTCTAGTCTAAGTCCAATCCTCATTATCCACATTCTTATCTTAGGACTTAGAGCTATTACCTACGGCCATGACTCAAGTCTATTCTATTACATTAGAACCACTACCTACGGCCATGATTCTGGTTAACCCGGTACCTACGGCGCCGCTTGGGTGGAACCTCCAATCTTACGGATCAGATCCCAGATTCCATGTGCGCACATCTTTACCCGAATGCCACTGGACACTAAGTCCACAAGGCTCTACAACCTATTGTCAGTTTACAATCTCAATTCTCACAAAGTAGACCGTGTTCTCCTAGGTAACCTACGTCATTAACATTAATTATCCAGATCCAAGCTATCAGCAAACTCAATTTACTTTATACGTACAAGGCATATCACATTATATCCACAATAAATCAAGAGAATAAAAATATCTAAATAGATCATCATGCAAATCACACAAATTAGAAGAGAACGTACTTGGTCGTCCTCGTTCAATCAATTCTAATAATATCATATAATATAAATAAATCATAATTCAAATATATAAAAATAAACCACATAATTCAATCATACGAAACTACAGACGTGAATTTCAAATCCATATACGAAATCTAGTGTTAGATGTCCACGTACTCACCTCGACTAATTGACAAATTAGACAAACCAAACAAACCAAACAACGAACACGAAGAACGGCGGCAACGGATAGTGGTGTTCCAGAGGCAGTTCTATTTCCGGTGATTGAAGCAGCGGCGTCGCAGCCTCTCTGTTCCGTTCCTGTTCCATTCTTTCTTTTCCGTTTTTTTCTTCTGTTCTTTTTCTTTTCCCCTTTGGTGAAGCCGTCCGCAGATGTATATATAAAAAGAGGGGGGGGGGGATTCTGACTTCGGGTAGCTTTAGGATTTAGATTTTAGGAAGTATTAATAAAATCTTTATATTATTTTACTCACCATGTTTTACACGTAAGTCCAAATTTTTCAAACTATATACCGTTGATCACCATTTTATGAGACCTACGCGAAAATCTATTTTTTTTTATTTAAAACGGACAACTTTACAAATTCTTCATTTTTTGAGTAAATAAATTTAATATTTATTTTTATTAAAATACGGCTAACTACTAAGCCGGTTTTCGGGTTGTTACAAAAGGTATTTAAAGGTGGTTTAAAAGGAAATCAGTAATTTTGAAGAAAAAAATGCCCGTAGAAACGATACTTAGGTGTCGCCTTAACGGTAGGGGTCCTGGAGTAACGGTACCAGGCTCCCGGTACGTTCTCAGGAAAATATTCTCTGACGGTTGCTTTCCTAACAGTACCCTTTCTGCTAGGGAGTCCCTGGCAGACAGTAGGGGTGTCCTAGACCACGGTGTAGTTTTTTTCATTTTTGGCCAAATTCTTTTCGATTTTGTTTAAAATTTTTTGAATGTTTGAAAATGATTATAAGAAGGTTTTAAACATATTTTGTGAGTGCATTTGGACTTTTAAATATAGGTACATAAAATAATATCCTTACATTTATTTCTACTTATATTCTATGCTAGTTTGGTGTTTTGACTTCGTTATTGAGAATTGTTAAACGTCTTATATAAAATATGTACGTGTATTAAATGTTTCCTAAATATAAAATACGTCTTATAATATGCACATATTTATTCACACAAAAAAATAATAAAGTGAATAAAAAACAACAATCTTGCTTTAAATTGAAATAAATCCAAAAAAGCAAAGCACGTTCATACAATTTCCATGCTAAAAACAAATAAAGTCTTAATCGAGCAAATGTTCGAAATTAAAAATAGTTCAGCATAATCCATACCATAAAGTATAAAGTCTTCCACTAGCTACAAAATTATTCTAAAATACCAAATTCAGCAAAAAAACTTCATCATCATCATTGATATAAGTCTCACAAAAATCTGAAAGTCCAGCATCATCCATACCATTGTCAATGTTAGGATTTAAGTTTGAAGTTTGAACTATGAAATCATCCAAACACTGAGTGGAGGATGCAATTTGAAACTATACACTTGAGAGTTGAGAATTGAAACCTCATACTCAAATCAAAGAAGAAATTAAATGATAAAAATTATGAAATTATGTTTGGGAATAGGGGCTTACGGGCTTCGGCAGGTGGGGCTACGGCAGAGGGACTACCGTCGGGTGGCAGCTACTGTGGTGCAGACTCGCAGAGGAACCGCCGTCTGGAATTCGGGAATTGCAGCGGTGGGCCGGTGGCTCTTGTTTGCCGGAACTCTTGCAATCGATAGAGTGGACGAGCCGATGGATGAGAGGGGGCCTGAGAGTTTGATAGAGTGATAGACCAAATGAGCAATAGAGATTAGAGAGAGAGCTGAGGCTAGGTAATCGGAAAAAACGCATATAGGTAATAAGTTTAGGCTTAAAATTCGTACGTAAGTATAATACACTTATCAACTAACTAGGATGCAAACCAAAGCTAATGCACACAAAAGATATATAAACACATTCGAGCACATATAAGATAAGTTTTTAATTTAAAAATGATAATAAGTATACAAGAAAAATCTTATTTCAAAAGACTCAAAGAACTTACCTTGGTTTATGCCGTTCTCTTTTTAGATTGAGTAATATGGAACGTAGCCATTATAGTCGAAGAGGTGATAAGGGTTGTATGCTTCTTTCTTTTTGTTCGGAGGATTTTGATAATTTTGTGCTTTGCTTAGTTTTGGTCGAGGATGACCATCTTTCCACTTGTACCAATTTTTTGATTTCTTCTTTGCTCTATTTTTATTATTTTTCTACAAAAATAAATTCGAACAAAGACACCCCTTTTCTTTAGGTTCTAACCAGTGGCGGATCCAGGATTTGGAGCGACTGGGGCAAGAGTAGTACCAAAGTTCGAGGGTAGCGTCCCCGTTTTTTAAAGTAAAATTTGTACTGAATAGGCCGGACTAAAACATAAGTCTTTTTTACGTAGGACTTAAACATTTTTATTCCCTAAATAGGACTTAGTAATGTCTAGTGAGAAAAATAATGCCCAAGTAATGTTAGGCATTTAGTTGAATAATGACTAAAATCGATAATGACCAGTGGTCCTACATTGGAAATAAAAACATATGCTTCTATATTGAGAAATTCATTATGTTTTAATCCCATTTAGGTAAATTACCTTTTTTTAAAATAAAAAAATTTATAAAAAACTAGTTTTTTAATAAAATATTCAAATGATTAATGAAAAATCAGATCAGACTTCGAAAATGCGTTAAAGGTAATTTACCTAAATGGGATAAGTGCTCTTTGAAGACTTCGAAAATGCTTAAAAGTTTTACTTATTCTTATTATAATCAGATAAGACTAGATGAGATCAGACCATACTAGATTAGATCATATGAGATTAGACCACTTCAGATCAGACCAGACTAGATCAGATCAGACCAGATCAAATCTTCAAAAAATCTGATCAAATTAGATCAGATCAGACTAGATCAAATCTTCAAAAAATCAGATCAAATCAGATCTTCAAAAATAAACAAAGTCTATATTTTCTATGAAAAATATGTTAATTTAAAATTTTAAAAAAAATTGATTTAAATTTTAAAAAAGTTGGTTTAAAAAATAAAAAAAATTAGAACTTTTCCCCCTATTTTTATCTTTTTTACTTTTTAATTTTTAATAATCAAAGTCGTTGCTCCATGCACCAATTCAATCTTCTGAATGTTTCTTATTTTAAATAATTATTTTTAAAATTAATATTTTTTTATAATTTTTCTCCATTAAAAGATGATTAATAAAAATAAGTTCTCCGTTATAATCGAGTCAATAATACTAAGAAATTCATCATTGCTTTTTAAAAAAAATTACATCAAATTTATCTATTGAAATTAAAGTTAAATACTTGATCAAGAGTGACTCCGTCTCCATCCTTTTAAGATTGAGATTTTGGAGTTACTTAATAACACGAATTTATGTGCTTGGTGATTGAGCATGTACAGTGGGAGGCGGAGTAATGTCATAAAATTATGTGAATTGTTGGAAGTCGTTTAACATTAGCATTAAAAACTAGCGTTACTATTTTAAAAGATTATTTGATACTAGTTTTTAGCGTTAGTATTTTCTGAATTAATCTATACCATTAAAATTTTTATTTTAAATGCTTATCTCATCGAAAATATCATTTCCAAACAAGGCCAGAATGACATTGTCATTCACAGACACATGAAGTATTTTAGATGAGAATATTAACGTATAATACTCAATTTGTTGGAGTAGTGTCATAAACTTTTTGTGAAAAAAGATTCAACAAAGTGATTAAGGGTCCGTTCCGTAGGACTTATTTTTTCTACTTATTACTTATTCTTATTAAAATCAGATCAGATCAGACCTCATCAGATCAGATAAGATTCAATCAGATCAGATCAAACTCAATCAGATCAGATCAGACTCAATTAGATCAGATCAGACTCAATCAGATCAGATCAGATCAGATCCAATCAGATCAGACCAGATCAAATCCAATAATATCAAATCAAGAAAAAATATAAAAGATAATAATTACTTTTGATTCAACGATTAAATAATTAATGTTATAACTTTAAATATTATTGTTTTTATATTATTATTATTATTATTATTATTATTATTATATTTCAACTACAAACCATTATTTTAAATAATTGTTTAGCTTGTAGGATAGAAATGATGCATGGAAGCAATGTTTTTTTTTAACCGAATGCAAATAATATTTTTCATACTTTAAAAAGATTTATTTTAAAATACTTGTTTATAAAATAATTATACAGAACTTAGTTTTCAAAACTATAAATATTTTATACTTAAAAAGACTTAGTTTTAAACTTTAAGATGGTATAATATACACAAGGGTGAATTTATGACAAAATTGATAGAGGTGAAAGTGATATTAGTGTTTAAAATTTTATATGATCTTTAATTTGTAACATGAAATATATTACCAGTATTATGTAATATGCATATACAATGTGATATTTTTGTAGAATAGCATCAATATTTTCTAATATTTGTTTATTTTAATACCGATTTTTTAGTTTTCACAAAAATTTAAAAAGTTGTGATATTGAAAAGATGTTTAATATTTTAAAAATTTTTAAAGATATTAATGATTAGCCGATTTTTTTATTTTACTTTTTTATGTATATATGAATTGTAATACTTTAAAACTATTAAATTTTGTAATAATTTTAAGTTTAATTTAAATCAAATTTAAATTCATTTACACCAGATCTAGTCAGATCAGATCAGATCCAATCATATCAGATCTAATCAGATCAGATCAGACCCAATCAGATCAGATCAGACCCAATCAGATCAGATCAGACCCAATCAGATCAGATCAGATCCAATCAGATCAGATCAGATCTAATCAGATCAGATCAGACCCAATCAGATCAGATGAGATCAGAACTTCAAAAATTCGGATCAGATTTAATCAGATCAGGCGTACGGAAGAGAGCCTAAATAGTGAAATGAATGTGAACTAGAAAATGAGGGATAGGGAGAAACCTTCTTTTTTTTTTCTTTTGACAACTTTCTTAATTAAGAAAGGACCAGTTGTACTGTACAGTGTATTACTGTATTATACACTCAATTAAAAAAATTGACAACACACCGCTCTTATACGGATGAAAACTTTTATTATTTAATTTCTGTGTTTTTGTTTATCATTTAAAATAAAATAATTTTGTTATCCCTTATTTTTTATAGTTTTTTTATTTAATTTTAAATATGTGGTTTACATTTTTTAGTTTTATATCTAACCAATTTATAAATAAAATAGTATAAAAAGTAAAAACTAGAATACGTCTTATAAATAATAAAAAACTGGTGAAGGTCCGATATTTTTACGCAATATTTCCAAAAAGGAATTGTAGACTTGTAGTACGCAACGTCTCAATTGTTTGTCGAACACATGTTACGAACTAGTTATTAATTAGGGCAATGCTACGGGTACACCAACATGGGGTACCCCAAGTATACACCAAGCCAACACAGACACACAGACACACAGACACAAAATGTCTGTGCAACACAGACACTTTGTGTCTGTGTGTGTCTGTGTTGGCTTTGGTGTACACTTGGGGTACTCCATTTTGTGTACCCCTAGCTTAATTCTATTAATTATTATCCGGTTTCTTTTTTCACTATTCCTGATACATAGTACTCTTAATCCTTATGAACCAATGATCTTAGAGCACTGGAAATACGTTTAAAGTCCCGGGGCTTCAAACTTTCTCTCTGCCACGTCAGCTTTAACTTACACAAAAAATTCACAGGAAATGGGTTTGAAGCCCCGGGGCTTCAAACCTTCATTTTTTACATTTTTAAATATACATCTTCTAAAATTAAATTAATAAAATGTAATTAAATTATTAATTAATTATATTGAAAAACGAATAATAAAAAAATACATTTTTTAAATTTAAAGAAATTGAAACGACAATAATTTAAAATTTAAAAAATTACATTCGTTAAATAAAAAAAGTGACAATAATAAAAAAGATACATTAATAAAAAAAACCAAGGTAAATTATATTTTGCCTTGGTCTCTCTTATTCTTTGCTCGTAGATCATTCATCTGAAACCCGACAACGTAGAAAGGTCGGTTTCCATGACTTTGATCTCGTCCTTCTGCTTATTTAGCTTCAACTCCTTCTCCTTTAGCTTCAACCTCTCTTCTTCTCAGAGATTGAACACCCGAAGTTGTTCAACCATTCCCCGGCCGATTTTGTCGCGAGAAGAAACGGAAACAGAGTCGGACCCTCCCGAACCCGAGGCAATGGATTTTGCCTTCTTTCTTCTGATCGGACGTGGAATGGGGTCCTCGTCATCGGAATCCGCAACGTTGAAGGGAGAGATTTGATCGGACGAACCGATAGTCTCGTCGACCTCAACCTCGGCATCGACGGAGAATCTTTTCCGGAACGATCCTCCGTCGGGATTGTTGAGTTGTTGCCACTTCGGGGAATGGCTCAAAATCCTCCAAAGATTGATGGGCACCTTGCCTTGGTGCCCGTCATCTTGATACCGGGTCGTGGCAAGCGAAGAACATCAGCGTCATTCGTCCCGCTCCTCCGAGACCGGGAGCATTCCTCGTAACCTCCGATAAACTTTCAGACTTTACGGTTGATGTGGCTCCATTTGGAAGTGAGTTGGTCTCGGGTACGGTAGGAGTCGTCCTTGTTCATCGCCGTGAAGAACTTCTCCTCGATACGATCCCACATCGCATCCTTCGTTTGCTCCGAACCTTTAAAAAAGTATAACACAATTTTTTTATGACACGATTAAATATAATTTTATATAAATAAAAACATAAATATATTTGAAAAAATATAATTTTTACCAATGATAGGATGCTCGGAGACGTCAACCCAAGCCGGCGCCAATAAGCACTCCTCCTCCGGCGTCCACTTTTTGATTGACTGTGCCACCTCAGTCATCGTGCCTTTTGCTTTTGGCTTTTCCGGCGTGTACTTTTTTTTGACCCGGTCGATTCCGGTTAAGTCTCCGGAACCGAATCTCGCTCGATGTACCCCGATTGTTCTGTCTCGAAGATCGGCGGTTGATCGCCCAACTCTT